TGCTAGGATTACAGGCGTGAGACACGGCACCCGGCCCCTGGCCTGCTTTTGATTTTAGTAAAACCTTACATAACACGTAGCCTTGTATTTTGATTGTTCTGCCAGTACATAACATAACAAACTGAACAAAATTGAAGAATTATATATAGAGATGAAAAGTTAAAGGCTGCTTGTATGATAATAGATTTATAGGTAACATAGATCTATAGATAACGTTATCTACAGATAATAGTATGGACTTAACATACTAAATAGAAAATGATCAGGTCAGAAAAGTGACTTAAAAGTGTAGCATGGTTTCAGATATTATTTTCTAGGCTACAGTCAGTGCCATAATCCAAGAACATAGAGATTTATTTAACAAATTAAAATCTAATTTTAACAAGTTTTCATGAAAGGATGTTTTACATACAGCTTCTGTGGCTTTTTCATATTATAAATTCAAGGCATGGCTTGATCTTATTTCAGCCTAATGGCAACACATCTGGAAATACTATGCATCACTAAAATGTTCATAGAAATTTTATGTGCTTTGAAATATTGCGTATATGGTTATAAAATTCCCTTGATGTTCACTGGCATATTAAACTAAAATGGCACGGACAGCCATATTATTGTCTGTGTTAATAATCTACACATGAAAGACTCCTTCAGTTCAGTTGAACATAGTTCTTACCTCTAATTATTCATTAGGCCAGTGATCTTTTGTGTTATCAGGAGGAAAACCAAAATGGTGCAATTAAAATTTGAACCAATATCTGAGGTAACTGTACTTTTTCTTTTTTATTATTAAATGGAAAGATCTTCTGAAACGTATGATAGTTTCAGGGGTTTAGAAGATGTTAGAGAATTATTTTGGGCTTATCACAGTTTAAAGAACACTAGACTTGGAATCAAATCATTTAGATCTAGGTAGCAACAGCTATGTCGTTGATATGCAGTGGACAAGTCACTTAAGCGTCCCCTAACAAATGTGTGTGTTGGTCCAGTTTGGCTTGTTCGTCAGTGGTTAGGCTTCCACACACACGTAAACATAAGCAAATGATTTATTAAGCTTTAAAGGTAGGAGCTCTCTGCAGGAGGCTTTGGTGCAGCCAGTCAGCCAGGGGAGTTTTAAGTCACTATAATCTGTCCAATCAGAGAAGCTGGAGCAGCAGTAAAGATCCCTTATCCCTGAGCGAGCAGCTCTCCTGCAGGTTGCACAGCCACCCTTTGTCATCCTTCTGAGTATGTAATAAATATTCAGATTAACACAAATGTACAGAACTGTAACTGAATATACATAGAAATTCTCTTAACCAGTGTCACTTTAACACACACACTGGGTTAACCATTCTTGTCGTTTTGCCCATCAGTCCCATCTGACTGTGCCTGTCGGCATGCTCAGTGTTTGCAGGGGGTAGACTCCTCTCTAGAATGCCGACATACATTTGTCCCTACCAGCTGAGGTGTGTGCTTACCAGGAAGCAGTCATGTCTACTTCTGAAACGTTTATTACATTTGTTCATATTATTGTAGTTAAATTATTCCAAATTATGTGAGCCAATGAATTGTGAGTATGAAAAGGTAATCATTGTTTCTATTAAAGCAACATCGACTGCTTTAAAAAGACTTGATAAGATGAACACTGAACAGAAATGGATGTTGGATTAAATATAGGTGAGACAACTGAAAGATATGAAAAAAATTGTAAAATATAGAGGGATTATGCACTCACCTTGCTTCACACGTCTTTAAATGCAGTGCTGTAACTTGAAAGTGAAACTGCAAACCATAGGTGATACATTATGGATGGCGTTCATGTATACATTTTAAATTAGAATGTTTAAAGTATGTCTGGTTTTGGTCATCTGCTTTAAGGTGACTTTCTATTAACCGACCAATTATTGTTCCTGGCCTTGCTAGGTGAGAAGGCTTCCTTATACTTGATAGTTGAACATAGTCAACCTACTTACACCTTTGGAAAACTGTAACATTTGCAGTTTAGGCAAATTCTCCATGTGTGTCCCTGCTAATTCCTCCAGGGCACCCTTTACCTGTTTTCCTGTCTTTCAAGTGAGAACAATGACATCTCCTTTAAGTTTTCAGAAAAGGGTAAAATTTAAATAAGGTATGGGTATGAAAACACTTTGGAAATAAGTGTGCTGTATACTATAGATACTGCAATCTTATTATTCAATATTTATAATAGGGAATCTGTGACTCATGCTTTAAGAAAATGCCCATCTTTTCTTAGACTTAGGTTTTATGCACAAAATCAGGTAACTGTTTTCTTATTTGGCATTTTGAAACACAAGTTTGAGCAAATAAAGTCAAACTAATAAACTAAAATTTAAGATGATTTAACTTCAGTGGTTTGGAAGATATTAAAGATGTTAGAGAATTAATTTGTCTCAGGCCTCATGGGTATTGGAATTTAAAGAACCCTAGACCTGGAATCAGACTAGCTGGTTTGGTATCAGCTGTGCTCTTGATAGCACTTGGTAGTGCTCTGATCCTAGTCTGGCAATCATTGTTATATTTGACAAGGATTTATAAAAGATTTCTTGTACTAACAAAAGGCTTAACTTTGATTCACGTTAAAGCACTACCTGTTTTAGTACTCTCAGTTTTCATGGACATTAACCTCTTTAGTTAACACTCTTCATCTTGGAAAATGAAACTACAGTTGTATGGTTTTTAATTATGTGCATAGGGATTACCCCTTAATTGGTAACTAGCTTTTGGCTGCTTGGCTTTGGCAAATACACACATACCAGAGGCTTTGGGATCAAGTGGATCTGAATTTGAATCCTTTCTCTACCACTCACTAGCTCTGTGACTTTTTGAAAGTTTCTTAAACCTCTTTATAAACCTCTTCTGTTTTCGTATGATGTATACCTCATAGGGTTAATAAAGATAAAAAGAGATATGTGTGAAGTCATGGGCATATGGCATAGAAGGCACTTAATAAAGGAGCCCTTTCTCTGGGTGCCAATTTTAAAATTTCATTCTGTCATTCTGTCATAAAAACAGGAAAACTTGCAGGCTACACATCAATTCATTTGATGTGTTAGGTGTGGAAACCATTTGTAGTGGAACAGACTAAAAGGCATGAAGCATTTGCTACTGTGAGCTTCCATCATTTCTGAAGTTAGTTCATCCATTTCTTAAGTGCCAACTGGGATTGCCAGATATTTAGAATTTGAACAATGAGTGTTTGTGGCCCTGGGGTACTGACTTCGAATATATGACCAACACCTGGAGGGAGAGGAGCCAGGTGAACACTGTAGAAAAGAATAAATAAAGGTTATTATGGTCATCCTGGCTCAAAGTAGTCTTCTTTCAAAGTAATCCTAAGCAACATATCACTTCTCTTTTATTACACAGAGATGAGAAAAAGAATGAAAGGCATTTACTTTAAGGTACTGTTAAAAAATTTTCACCGTGCTTTTTTGTTTGTTTCTCCAGCCTCCATCCCATCCCTAACCCATCTTTGTCGTTTGGAGATTCGGTCCAGTCTAAAACCAGAATACCTACGATCTGACAGTTTTATTCGTCAGCTACCACTTCCAAGGAGCCTACAGAATTATTTGCTCTATGCAGAGGTTCTGAGGATGAATGAGGTTCCAGAACTGGCTATTCAAGATGGAGAAAGCAG